TAGTGATTCAGATTGGGCCTCTTGCCTGGAAGACAGGCGAAGTACTACAGGTTACTATTGTGCTCTAACTGAAGGAGGACCACTGATTTCATGGAAGTCGAGAAAGCAACCAATTCCACTTGCGAAGCTGAATATGTAGCTTTAGCAAATACAGCTCAAGAGTGTTTGTATCTAACTCAATTGTTAAACGGCATGTATAAGAAAGTACATCAGAGTATGAAGGTAAGTGTTGATAACGAAGGGGAAATTGCACTAAGTAAGAACCCAGTTAACAGACAACGTTCTAAGCATATTGACATAAAGTGCCATTTTGTACGTGAAATGTATGTTAAAGGCATGATAGATATTGTATATTGTCCTACCCAAGATATGGCAGCTGATATCTGTCATATTATACACTACACACGTCGCCAGGTTCAACAACAATCTTTAATCATGATCACGTGTTTATCATAAATTAACATAATTATGACATCTCCCTTTCTTACTAAAGCTACATATTGTTCAACAGCTAATTAGCTTCAATTGTTCGGTATTAAGGTCACACTTCATAGCACCGAGCATCTTGCAAGAACTGCAATGCTCCAAGTAGCACAACAACAATATTAATGTTTATAAATGTAAACGGCTTAGATAGTCATTCCATAACATAGTCATTCCATAACATAGTCATTCCTGAGTCGTTCAGGCAGTCTAACTGCGCGGTTGCTGGTGCGCCTTACAGGTTGTGGGTCAACAACGTTATTTGGTCTAGGCTCAGGCAAAACAATTTCTTCATCGTAGTCTGGTCCTAAATTGTTAGGTGGAGGCTCACAGTGGGTAATAAATGTCTGCGATTACGACGATACACTCCCCCTTGTGCTGTGGTTACTATGAAGGATCTAGGTGCTTTATGCGTACCTGTTATAACTGCTGGCTCCCACACCTTTCCTCTTCGAATTCGGGCAGACTGATACATCTTTACAGGTCGCAATGGCTTTGCATTTCTGTCGAAGTACTCTTTTTGCTTTTCGGCACGTTGCTCAAGTTTTTCACGAACATTTTCTTGAACTTTGGGCTGAAGGAGGGCCGTGGTCGTAGGCAACTTGGACTTTAGCATGCGACTCATTAATAACTGAGCTGGCGATTCTTGCATTCCTGTGATTGGAGTATTCCTGTACTCCAGGAGAGCGATGTAGGGATCGTTTCCTTCATCATCAGCTTTACAAAGGAGATTCTTGATCGTTTGAATTGTACGCTCACTCATGCCATTTGACTGGGGGTAATCAGGACTGGACGTTGAAATTTTGAATCCCCATTCTTGTGCAAACTGTAAACATTCCTTACTTGAAAAGGGCCTATTATCTGCGACAACTTCATCCGGGATGCCGTGTCGATCGGGCAACTACTGATTTCATACTGGTAATGACAGCTTGACTTGATTTGTCTTTAAGGAGAGAAATTTCTGGAAATTTCGAGTAATAGTCCACAATTAGTAAGTAGGACTTGGACTTATATTCAAAAATGTCTGTTCCCAATTTTTGCCATGCTCTGGCAGGCACTGTGTGTGGCTTTAGTGGCTCTTTCTGATTGCTTCTTTGGTGCTTCAGACAAGTTGGACATTTCGCTACTAATCTTCCAATGTCCGCTGACATTCCAGGCCAATAGACTAGTGCTCTAGCCCTCGATTTACATTTTTCCATACCCAGATGGCTCTCATGAATTCGACGAAGAAGGTTTGGTCTCAGCTTCTCTGGAATAATTAACTTCTGCCCAAAAAACAACAACCCATTGGCTTCATAGATTTCGTCTTGAAATTTCCAGTAGTGACCAACAGCCGATGGACTATTCACACGACTACTAGGCCATCCGTCTTTGATGAATTGGGTTAACTGCTGCAGGATTTCATCTTCTACTGTTGCTGATTTCAGTTCTTCAAGCTTCTCAACTGTCATTGGAAGGTTTTCAACGAGGCTGTGGATCATCTTCGTTACATCATCATTCATTTCATCAGGAACAGGGCCATCAGGAAGAAATGCTCGTGAAAGTGCATCTGCAACATACATATATTTGCCTGGAAGGTAGTTGATGGTGACATCATACTTTTGTAGTCGGAGCAACAATCGCTGGAACCTGGGGGAGGCTTGTACCAAGGGTTTTCTGGAGATGGAAACAAGGCGCTTGTGATCAGAATCCATATTAATTGGTTTACCATAAACATAGCAGTGAAATTTTTCACATCCGAAGACAACTGCGGTTAACTCCTTTTCAATTTGCGCATAGTTCTCCTCAGCAGAGCTCAGTGACCGGGATTCATATGCAACGGGATGTCCGTCTTGTAGAAGGCACACTCCAAAGCCACCTTTTGAAGCATCAACTTGCAACTTGACTGGCTTTGTAGGAGTCAAAAAATTTCAGGACAGGCTGACTTGAGATGATCTGTTTCAGTTGTTCTTCTGCACCAGTGTGTTCATGGGACCAGTGCCAAACTGAATCTTTCTTTAACAACTGCCGTAGAGGGTCAGTACTACTCGATTGACCTGGAATAAACTTCGAGAAAAAATTGACCATTCCAAGGAACCTTCGCAATTCTTCCTTTGACTTAGGTAAGGGCATGTCCAGGATTGCACGAACTTTCTCGCTATCTGGCTTCAACCCGATTCAGATACAATGTTACCCATGTACTTCACTTCTATGACTTTGTACTGAAGCTTTTCTGGATTGAATTTAACATTTTCTGCTTTTGCTCTTTCCAACAGCTTTGCCATAATTTCATCATGCTCTTTTTCATCCTGAGCTGCCACAATTATGTCATCAAATATCACCTCGACACCATCAATATCATCAAACAATGCTTCATTCTTCTTCTCAAACACTTCAGGGGCTGAACACACACCAAATGGTAATCTCGTGAAGCGGAAGCGACCAAAGGTTGTATTGAAGGTGCAGAGATGGGAACTTTCTTCATCTAGGTGGATCTGCCAAAACCCATCTTTTTCATCCACTATGGAGAATAACTTCTTACCACTAAGGCGAGTGGCAATATCCTCTGCTGTGGGAATTCTATGATGCTCCCGTTAAATAGCCTTATTCAGATCACGGGGATCCAAACATAACCGCAGAAACCCATCACATTTCTCGACTATGACAAGACTGTTAACCCATGGAGTCGGTTCGTCAACTTTCTGCACAACACCAATTTTTTCAAGCTGCGAAAGTTTCTCTTTTAACTTTCCCAGTATGCTGTAGGGAACCTTTCGTTGTGGGTGGATGACAGGCTTGACAGTCTTGTCAACAACGATATGATATATTCTCCGTCCATGGAGCCAAGCCCTTCAAACACCTCTGGGTAATCATGAATAATGTGTTCTTTAGTGGAGGGTGATGGGGCCACTACATTGACTTTCTTGACCAGGTTTAATATCTCACATGCCTGCAGACCTAGTATTGGGGTTCACTGGACAGTAACAACAAAGAATGGTAGGATTTCAGACTGACCATTAATGACACATCTCCGGTCAAAAACAACTGACGCGGTCAAAAACAACTCGAATCGCTGAATCCATCGCCTCCAGTTCTCGCGTAAGTTTCCCGTCAAATTCAATACACTTGGGGGCTTAAACGTTTCCATTTTAATTAGGTTTTTTTGTTTGCTTATTTTTACTCCTGCCACCATGTCATATTATACACTACACACGTCGCCATGTTCAACGACAATCTTTAATCATGATCACGTGTTTATCATAAATTAACATAATTATGACAATATCCTAACAAAGCCACCCACAAAATGTAAACTAGATAATTTTAAAAGTATCGTGTTTGGTTGTTGTAATTATTTTATATTCTGATAACAAGTGAGGGTGTTGAGTTCAATATAAAATTGTATGTTATCCAAATATTAGTATGACGTAATACTGAGAGACAAATGCATGATGGGATTGTTGTGTTGTTAGTTGAACTTCCTCGTGAAAGTAACTTACTGTACAAAACTACATTTGTAACAAACATGAAAATAAAGAGTGATTTCATTACAAATACGGTGTTCTAAAGTCATGGCTTCAACTCACGCGTAGTGCATTTTGAGCCAAAACAAAAGGCAGAAAAGTTTTATCAAGTATGTAACCTGTTTGTAACACTACTTCTCATAGTATATTATATGCTACTCCATGTTAAATAAAAGCAGAAATTCGAGTGTAACAAGGCAAATACTAATGCAATATTTTATGATCAATTACCTGTAATGTAAATTGCGCCATTCCTTGCTTTCCTAACCGCTCGATATGTTTTTATCTGATAGTGTACTGGACTTCTCTTGTTTGATTTCGAAAAGTGTTGGCCACTGGTATAACGTTCAAAAACGACATATTTTAGCTAACATAACACGCACGCAATAGAATTCTCTCTTGTAGTTTTGGTGCTACCTATCTAATGACGTCACAAAGTTCGAGATAATTTTTCAAAAATATTTTCCGAAACACAAAGTTTGCATGCATTTTACTCGTAGACTAAAATGTTAGAGAAGGAAATGATAATATTTTCATAGTTAGGTCGTCAAGTAGGATTGAAATAGTCAATAAAAAGTTTCGTTGCCATTGTCCTTTAACTTTCCTCTTCGTTGGATTAAAATCAAACAATTTTCAGTCTAATAGTTTTGTTTGTGGAAACATCGCGTAAATTTATTACTGCAAAGCTTTAGATCCGTAAGCCCGGATCTTCATCAGTGCTAATATATGTACACATATTATTAGCACTGATGAAGATCCGGGCTTACGGATTGAAAGCTTTGCAGTAATAAATTTACGTGGTGTTTCCACAAACAAAACTATTATATTTTATCACTATTATATTTTTTCAGTCTGTTTTCCGTGTTGTAAATAATATTTTAACACATTAAGCCCAGAAATTCGAGATGCTTCTTAATCTTAGATATCTGTGTTTTCAAATATTTTAAAGCATTATCCGTTAACTATTTGATTTTGTTCATTATACATTGTTTTTTGACTAATTAATCATAACAAATTAAGTCTTATTCAAATAATAATATTTTTTCTTTTCAGATACCGCCACTTGTTCGGCCACCGGCGACCCCCATTACCGTACTTTTGACGGTAAAACATACGACTTTATGGGATTTTGTGAATATGTGTTTTCGAAAGACAAGGTTCAAAACCGTTTCGAGGTTCTCACAAAGAACGAACCCTGCAACAATCGTTATAGCTGTGTTGCCTCTGTGACTGTGTTTATAAAGGAGCTGAAACTTAAAATAACAAGAGGTGGTAAATTTACAGTGTTTGGAATTCCTAAGGAAGTTACCCAACCCTACTTCAACAAAGGTAAGAATGATCTTCATGATGGGACTATGACGCACTGCTGGTGTTGCTATTTCACACTGTAATTACTTGCAGTAGAGTGTCTATAACTGATCTACGTTGAAATTGCAAAGAACGTTACCCCATGCATGCATCATACGTCAAGCAATGTAAGAATGGTCCAATTGACACCGACCGTCATATAGTGACACTTTGAGGGCCAGTGCTGCTATTGAACACTGTAATGAACTGCTGTATAGGATGTCTCTAACTGCACCACGTCGAAATTAAACGAGGGGATTTCTTCGAAGTTTTGAACGAAATAATGAAGGACGTTTTCCAAGAATTTAACTTATCACTCGCCAAATACGTATCGACAAAATGTTTACAATCTTCTCCAGGTAGTTTAATGAATTAAGAACAGCCTGTAATCCTTTTACGAATTCTGTTCTTTCTGCTACTCCAAAAGGTTTCTTTTTCGCACTTAATAAAAATATATACAAAAAACAAAAGCTAAACCATTGTCGAGAGTTTTGAAAACTCATGTTCAACAGCAATTTTGAATACTTTCATTCATACACAAATTAGTTTCCAGGCCTCACCCAACATTGATTCATTATTTTATTTTCTCTGCCCCATGGATTACGCCGACCAATTTGTGCTGCCCTATATTCTTGACCATTCCATTCACCCATTCTAGATTTAGTATTTTTTCATGCAGAATTTAGTAATATTTAAAGAAATAACAGCTAACATAATGGATTATTATATAGGTGTAATGGTGAGAAGGAAAGAGAAAGGAATCCAAATTAATACAGATGTCGGTGTAACAGTGGAGTATGACGGAGTTTTTAACGTGTTTGTCACAATACATTCGCGATACAGAGAAATGACGGCGGGACTTTGTGGAAACTACAATGGCGATATCAATGATGAATATATCGGTCAGAACTCGCATCTTAGCGATTCCATCGTTGACTTTACCGATTCCTGGAAAGTTGACCAAAGCTGTCCAAATTCACCAATTCCTGAAAATCCATGTCTTACTACAAGTAGTATTGCGCAAGACGCCAAGATGAAATGTTAGCTGCTTAAAAAACCGCCGTTTGAACAATGTCATAATTCTGTGAATCAAGATTCAGGCTTCATTCAAGATTGTGAATATGATGTCTGTGCGTGCAAAAATCATCCTTCATCATGTCTGTGTGAAGAATTTGCTGCTTACACCTCCTCGTGCTCACTAGTTGGAGTTCCTATTACCTGGAAAAATCTTCCTCAGTTTGCTGAGTGCAGTAAGTATTTTCTTCATTCAATAATAGCATGTCCTAAACGAAAAAAGCTAGCTTTTTCGTCAGCTAAACGGATTTTTACAACGTACTCTTAAGTGTTATTTAAATTCATTATATAAACCAGAGCCGTAGGAAGATGATTAAAGTTAGCGGGGGTAGCTCAGTTGCGGGAGTAGCTCAGTATAACTCAGATATATATATATATATATATATATATATATATATATATATATATATATATATATATATATATA